TTTGAACTGTTTACTCTGAAACTCGAAGAAGAGTTCGGCAACCTCACTAATGATTTCAGCGCTGGCCGGATTAGCAGAGGAAGGCAGGCGTTTAGTGGAGGAAGAGAGATGTGAGGGAGAAGAGAAAAGGAGCAAAGGAAGAGAGGAGTGGGGTAGGTGAGAGCACAGGTGATGCTCAGAGCTTTTGATGGGGAGGATATAACCCACCCACCACGTGGAGGGGGACCTCAGCTGTTGCAGGTCTGGGGTTGTGTTTGGGGACTCCTCAGAGGCATTTTCCCCCATGGAGGGCATCCAGGTCCCCCTGGAAACTGCCCTGGAGAGATGGGTGCTTGGCTGGAGCTGTGCCCTCGGCACGTTTTGGGGCTGGATGGGGCTGTAATGGGGTTTGGAAGGGGGAAGCAGCCATGGATTCCATGTGAGCACCCACAGGGGAGAGGGTGAGTGTCCCTCCGGGTAAAGCCAGCTCTGGGTGAGATGACCTGATGGGGCAGGGAAGAATGATAAAAGGCAGAGGACATCCAGGTTTAATCCCTGGCTGATCATAAGGGGAAAAAAGAGCAAAGTCTGCATGGAAGGACAGCTCTCTCATGGGCTCTCAGCAGCGAGGAGATCAGCCTTTCTCAGGCCTCGCAGCACAGAAGTTTTGTGGCCAAAGCTGGTGAAAATTGCCCAGGCAAGTAGCTGTCAGGCTCAAAAACGCAGAATCTGGGTGTGAACTTCTCTGCACTGGTTTGCAAATGCATCAGCTCCAAAGTTCCCTGTTGAGTGGGGTCTTGCCAAGGGGGGTAGGAAGCAGCACGAGGTGCTGGGCACGAGGCACACTGGCTGGGCTGCGCCGGGTGGTTTTGGGTCCCCTCTCGGTACCGGTTCCTCCTTTGGGCTGAAGCTGCAGGTGACACAGCATCATGCATTTTGCTGCTAGTGTGTCCTGTCTCTAGAAACTCTTGAACTCCAGATCTCCTCCCGATCCCTCTCCAAACACAGCTCAGGGAGCAGATGGCAGAGCAGCACTGGCTTAGTCCCCAGCTCTCGTCCTTTTCTTTGTTTTTCTCGGCGATGGTTCACTTTGTAAGACACCGAAGTCTTTAACCATTAGCAGGCAATAAAAAGGGGCAGCTGAGTTGGATAACACCCAGTAATCCCCTTCCAGGATGAGCTGGAGAGAAGAGCCACTGCAACGCTCAGGAGCTTACTCTGAGTGCTTTGGAGGCTTTGAGAATTGCATGGTGTTGGTATTTCATGAATAAATAACCCCCAGCCATATTTGTCACTGAATCTGCTTCATTAATGAGGGCCTGGAACAAAGGGGGAGGCTGGAGAAAAGTATTTTCAAGGGAATTGAGGTGAGTGCAGGTGATGGGGACTGGGTGAGGATGGGTGCCCTGGTCTGCACCGCAGGAGCTGCTGGGGGAGAGCCCTGCTGCTGTGCATCGCACTGACCGGTTGTGGCAAGAGAAGTTGCTAGAAAAGGGGCTTTTACTGAGGCTTTGTATCAGCAGGGGGTCCTGGCAGAGAGGGGAGTGCATTTCATTTAGAAGTTTGACATCTGGGCGTCTGTGTGTGTCTTCGGGAGGGCTGGAGAGTTAGAGAGAGAGCATGTGTTCGCAGATCTGCATGTGCTTGTGGAGAGAATCTGGCACCAGGAATTAGGTGGCTCGCTCCATAATGCCCTTTTTGACGGGACCTAGGATCTGCTTCAGGGCAGTGGGGAGTCATCCCCTCCTCCCAGCACGCCGGGCGCTGAGCCCTGCCTGGTCCCAGGGCTTTCGGCACCTGGCTCCGGCCAGGGCCACCGGCAGCTTCACCCAGTGTGCTCCAGGCAGGGCGCGAGCTGCAGAGCCCATCTTCTCCCTCGTGCCGTGTCAGAGCGACCCGAGGGCCACTCCGTGAGATTCAGCACAGATAGATGGAGAGCAAGAGGGAAGAGCTGCTCTTCTGCAGGCAGCTCATTACTGCGGGGAAAGTGATTCATCCATCAGCGATGGTCAAATCTGGTGTGTCTGGACAGCGGGGAGGGCCGGCGGGCATGGGGCAGTGGTGGCCAGACGCTGCTGTCACCCCTCAAGTGTCCCTTGCACTACCAATAAAAATGGAAAGGGAGCCGCTGAGGCTGGCAGTGCCAAAGGCTCGGCAGCGCCTGCCTGACCGAGCCTGGCTCTGCCAGCCACTCCGGAGGCAGACGAAAGCGAAGCGTGCTCCGAGCATCGCGCCAGCCCTCTCGTCTGCTGACATCCCCCGTGTCAGGACACCACGCTGAAGGGACGCTCTCTAATCCAGCGAGGGCCGAGCAGCCTCCTCCGATGGCAGGCAGCGCCGTCACCCCGCTCCTCTCGCGGGTGACGTTGGAACGCTTCCCTCCGGCTCCACTCCCCACCTGCCAGAGAGGTCAATATTTTAATGTCTTTAGTGTCTCATTCCAACTCGGCAGCCCCTGCCCGTGTTTTGTCGAGGGTCGTCCGTTATAGCAAGCATGGTTTTGGAGACTGAGGTTCCTGTTCCCGTCCTTCACTCTCCCGAGGGCAGAAGGTCGATTTGTGCTTCCAGGTTTTAATTGAAAGCGTGACGAGCTGGCCCTGCCAGCCCCAGCCCAGGAGCATGGTGCCATGCGGGAGGAGCTGCCTTCCCCCGGCAGCTCCCTGGCTCTCCGGAGTTTCCCCGGCCGAGGATTGGGCCCTGGGGACTGCTTTCCGCCACCCAGCACAGCTGTAGCTCCTCGCCTTCTCCTTCCAGGGACGTGGGAGCTGCAGGAGGGTCTGGTTGGTTGGTGGCTGAATGGAAAAGCCAGGAGGGAGGACAGGGACACGGTTCTCCTTGCAGACCACCTACGATGAGCAACCCTCGCGGGAGGACCAGATGGGGCTGAGCTTTCGGGTGGGCAGTGGAGGACTTGTCATGGTTTGTTGTTTTTCATTTAAATAATTCTCTCTACGTTAATAAACAGTATTTTTAGTTAGTAAATAATATGCCCTTTCTCTCCCCCATCTCTCCAGCAGAAATATGTACCCTGATCTAATGTATTCTGCCTTTCTCACTCCCTCACTTTGGAGGAGCTGCAAATTCTGGTGGGAACAGAGTGCTAATAGAAAAGGGCCTCTAAAGATATTTGAAACATGACCAAGAAAGGACAGAGGGAGATTCAGCTCCAAATATGCTGGAAAATCTAGGAGGTGGGCCAAGAGAGGGGGAATATCGGAAGCATGATCGCCAAGAGGGAAAAGTTAATTGGGAAGCATTAATTGGGGTGAAAGCGAGCAGCACAGACGTGAATTTGCTACACGGGGCAGCGATGCAGCTGGAGGCACCCCAGTGCTGGGGTAACTCGTCCGCCCTGACCCACGGTAGCGGAGAAGCTGCCCTCCACCTCTGTCCGAGCAGTTCTGTGCCAGTTTACCAGTTCTTGCTGGTTTTATGGTGTTTTCCCTGTTGAAAGTCCCAGCTTCTGGAATTCTGCCTGGGAATCTGGAATCTGCAAAGTCGTGACTTCAGTACTGCACAGGGCTTTGTTTCTTTGGATTCGGTCTCTGGGTAGTTTCTAGCCCTCAGATTTGCAGGGAAAAGCTTGCTTACGCCCTAAAGGCTCAGAAAGCAGAAGGCAAATTTAGGGGAGAGAAAAAAAAACACAAAAAACCACCCAGTGACTGATTTATTTTTAAAATCTCAGCATTTTTATGCCAATCTCGTTATATTTTTTTTAATGCCTGACTCATGATTTTTTCGAGCGTTCGCTGTTGGTAGGGCTGTGTGCATGAGTGTGACGGTGTGCGTGCAGGGGCCCTCCGCTGACAGCGAACGCAGTGCTGGTTCGAGACGGTGGTGCTGTGGTCTGCAAGGGCTGCTGAATATTCCTCCGTCCCTCTTTCACTGCCAAGCAAGCGGTTTTCAGATTAAAAACCTGAAAAAAGGGGAAAAGGGAGACTAGCGCTGGGCGCTGAGTCATTGTGGGGCTTTTTAGGTGCCGATGGGAGAGCAGGGGAGATGCTAAAGGGGAATAACCTCCCCTGTGACTCCTGGCATTGCCTGAGGGGGTATTTTAAGGTCAGAGGGGTCCGTGTTTGTTTGCAGCCCCCTGTGTATAAAGATGTAATAAATAGCCCGTGGAGGTCAAGCCTGTTGCTGTCAGTGACTTGTTGACCAGTGACCTTGGGTAAGCCGCTCTGTCTCTCTCCTGTCACTGAGAGGGTGACCGGCTCTGTCGCTCAAAGTGGGTTGCAGGTATCAGTTAATACACAAAATGTGCTTGGAAGATGAAAAATACCTTGGAGGTGCTTAAAGCTCTCAACAAGCGTCTGTGTTCCCTTTGCAATCACCCAGCAGAAAGCAAAGTGCCTGCTTTGTCACAGACAAAATCTGCTGTGTGCGCAGCTCGAGAGGCAGGGCTGGGAGCTGGGAGCTTCCCAAGGCTTCCCATGGCCGGTGAATTTGGAGGCATTTGGAGCCAGCTTCTTGCTGTCTTGAGAGCGGGGTGTCACAGCACAGCTGGGCCTGGGGCTTTACCGAGCTGTGGCATCGCTGTGTCCCCTGCACCGTGTGCCCCGGAGCACCAGGATCAGCCTCTGCCTTCACATCCCAGCCCAGTTCGTACGGCTTTCCAGCTTCAGCAGCGTCCCTGGATGATGGACGGGGTGTGGGTGCTCAGCTGTGAAACATTCAGGAGTTTCACTGTTGTGGATTCGCTGTTGTCTAGTATAGGGCTGGATTCACGCACAACTCCAGGCTGCTAATAAAGTGTGTGTTAGTTGCCAGTTCATGTGAAAATGATAGACAGTATCTCTGAAACCCCAAAACTGGTTGGTTTTCATCAAGGATCTCAGAGTCATGCAGCAAATCTGTTTTATATAGCATAATCACAAAATCTTAATTTTCTTGGGAAGCCTCTTTTTACTCACGTTTGCTAATCAAAATGCCACGATTTTGCCAGAGCGGCTCTCTGGTTTGCCCTGCCCGTGCCACGTGCTGCCAGCTCCCACCCAGCCCTAACGGTACTTTTTCTCTCCAAGGGAAGAAGCGATGCTGTCCACGTACTTTGAAACCATCAATGACTTGCTCTCCTCCTTCGGGCCGGTCCGAGACTGCTCCCGCAGGTGGCTGTCCCCGCAACTTCAAGTGCGTTTCGGATCGCAAGGTGGACTCGACGGGCTGCGTGGTAGGTACTGCGCCTGCCGACCCCGGGGCTGGCGTCTGCCATGGGGACAAGCCGGAGGAGGACATTGCCAGCTCCTGCTCTGGGGATGCGGTTGCAGGGACGTGTGTCCACTCCTGGGGCCTCCACGGCAAATCACGTGTGACCTGAGGACCTTGGGGAAGGAGCCCAGGGGCTCAGATGAGCAAAAGAGAAATGCTTGAGGCTGATGGTCATTCTCCTGCTTGTCAAGAAAGCACGGGCTGAACGCAGTCTTGCTTTTTCTCCTGCATTGTGCTTCCAAGCATGGGAGAAAGATGAAGCAGCTCCCCATCCTCTCCCCCTTTGCGCCCCTCTGACAGCCTCTGAGTCAGAGAATCACGGAGTCACAGAATGCTTTGGGGTGGAAGGGACCTTTAGAGGTCATCTGGCTCAACCCCCCTGCAGTAAGCAGGGATATTTTCAACTGGCCTTGAATGTTTCCAGGGATGGGGCCTCCACTACTTCTCTGGGCAACCTGTGCCAGTGTTTTACCACCCTTACTGTAAAAAATGTCTTCCTTATACCTAGTCTAAATCTACCCTCTCTTAGTTTAAAGCCATTGCTCCTTGTCCTATCACAACAAGCCCTGCTGAGTGTTTATTTGTTCCTGAAGGTGCTCACGTCTTGCCAGACAACCTCCTGAGTCCCAGGTTTTGCAGTCCCCACTCCAGAAGACCTCTTTGACCCTAGACCATTCGTTTTGGGCAGAGGCTCTGAATCACTCCCAGCTATCGAGGCACAGAGGGGTTCTGCTGTTCTTCCAGGCGGGCTGCAGCAGAGCTCGGCACCTCTCCCGGCTCTCACCCAGCTCACCTTGACAGCAAAGTCACCGCTTCCCTGCGTGCGGGGCTTGTGCAAGTCCGGTGCGACACGCAGAGACGTGGGGACAGAGCCTTGGGAAGCTGGGGGAAACCTGGAGCATCCCTCCTCACCTGTCTGTTGTAGGAGCCCCTGCCTGCCAGGCAGCAGGTGGTGACCCAAGGGGGTC